ACTGTAACACTTTCCCATTCATATAAAGATAAAAAGTTGTGGAACAGAGAGTAACATGTGTCTTGTTGGAGGTTTACAGGGACATCATGACCCAACCTAGGACCTACATGGACAGCTGCAAGAACAAAGGATTCTGACACTAAAATGTTTGCAGCAACCAACCACACCCTGCCCCCTTTTAGCATAAAAGAAACCTGAATTCCAACTTGGGCAAGATGTTTTTTTGAGGCACTAGTTCACCATCTTCTCAATCTAACGGCTTTCTGAATAAAGTCACTATTCCTTGCCCAGCAACTCCTCTCTCAATTTACTGGCCTGTCGTGCAGCGAGCAGTAGGAGCTTGGACTTGGTAACAAATGGAAAGTGCAGAGATTTTTTATTTCAGAAAGTTGAGCTAGACGCTACCAGTCTCTTTAGTTCAGGAAAATAGATTAGAGATCCATTTACACAAACAGTGACCCCCAGGCTTGGGCAAAGAAGACCAATCAAAAGGTTCCAAGAAGATTTTGGCTTCAAATAAAGAAATTCAGGGCAAACCCTAGTGCAGATAGGGGACAAGGTCCCCAGATGGCTGCTTGTAAAGGCAGCACACATCAGAGAGCCTGGGGAAGAAGGGACAGGACTCCAGCTGGGATTGCAATCTCCAGCGCACAGAACAGAGCTTTCTGTCCCTGAACAATTCGATGGCTGCTTTGAACCCATGTGTGGGCAAACTCATGGGAGGGTACGTTCACAAGAGTGAATTCTACTAACCCGTGGGACGTTAGATAATAAACTTCTTTAGTCAAGATTTGCAGATACTAACTAATATATATTAAATAGATAAACAAGTTCATACTGTGCAGCACAAGGAACTATATTCAATATCTTGTAGTAACTTACGGTGAAAAAGAATATGAAAATGAATATATATATATATGTTCCTATATGACTGAAGCACTGTGCTGTACGCCAGAAATTGACACAACATTGTAAATGACTATACTTAAATCAAAATATATATAAAAAAGAATGTGTCGAGGTTTGAGAATTTTAAAAAAAATAAAATAAACTTCTTTAGGATGCAGATATTGGCGATAGATTCTCTGAAGAGTTCTGGCATTTCTGAGAGTCACTCTTAAGCTAGGTCCTATCAGATGGAGAGGATTTCAGACATTGGGGAATATTTCAGCACATTCCCCAACAGACACACACAGTTTGGGACAGAGTTGTACTCCCGGTGACCCAGGAAAAATGAATGTGGAGTGTGAGGAGGGCCGAGTCCCAGGTCTCAGTTGAGCCCCTGGGACATGCCCTGCCAGGTGTGGGTCCTTGGCTTCGCACAGGAGAGAATTCAAGAGTGGGCCACAATTGAGTAAAGGTAGGTTTATTTTGAGAGATACATACTGCATAGAGTGTAGGTTGTTTCAGACGGCAAGAGAAAGGCCGTGAGGTGTGCGGGTTGAGTTCTCAATAGATACACACCCCATGGACAGGGTGCAAGCTGTCTTCGAAGATGAGGGAGCGAGAGAGGCAGCCACAAGGCATGGTGTTGCCAGCTTTTATGGGCTCGGTAGCTTCATATGCTAACGAGTGGG